TAAAGTAGGTTGCAAATTTAGCACGCGCTGCTATCAACAAATACTAGGTGAACAACTGATTTCTAGACGACATTCAATTGTCGGTAGAGTAGTATCCAACAAGACTTATCGGTTATCAAGGTTCTTATCAGTTATCGTGTTCTTATCAGATAACACAATGAAAATATTTTATGAATCAAACATTGAAAATAGACATTTTATTTTTCATACAAAAGGTACTCAACTTACATAAGACAATATTATGCAATACTATTTTACATTAATTCCACTTATATACAAAGTGATCATTTCGACCGGGGAACAAATCCTGGTCTAACTTTATTTTAATATTTCTTTAAATTGAAAATAACATTGGAAAGGTAAGTCAACCGGGGAACTGCACCCGGAATCATTAATTATATCTTAAAAATTCCCTCTATGAATTTATTAAGAAAATATTGCTAAGAAAATGACAAACTAGTCCGACCTGGGAATCGAACCCAAGACCTTCAAATTATTAATTCGATATTTGTTTAAGATTTATCTAAGCGTTTTCTTATAAGACAATTATTGCTTGATAATTTAACTTTAGAAGCTATTCGTAATCGGTTAACTGATAAATTGAAATATTATTATAGGCGCGTCGCCAACACAGTCCACCTGATGGTAAGTGGTTGCTGTGGCCCATGGACATCTACATCTATCTTCGATTAAGAATCAAAATGCAGATGCGTTGTCACCCGTGAGGACTAAGATGGAATGCCTCGTTTCCAGTAAAAAGAGTCTCCGGTTCTCTACACTCACCATACGAAACGTGAGGTGAGTGTAGTGAAACCAGCTTAAAGCTGCTATTTTACGCTGGTATTCTATGAGAACGTGGTCCTTCCCCGGTCGAGCCGACCCATTCGTGCTACAACTATACTATTAATATAGCTGCAGCATGGCTCTACCACGTATATTATCATTTATCAGTAGGTATATTTTAGAACACGATTTTTACCAAAATGAGAACAGTCTGAAAAAGGATGAAGGGGAATTAATCTATAATGAAATTTAGTGGGATGACTCAATAAACATAAAAAAGAAATGTTTCTAATTCCCGATATGTATTAAGTAGGTATAAGTCAATACTTATCCAGTTTCTTCATCCAGTTTCCCAAATTTTGTCGTAGTTAAGTTGTCGTTTCGGGTCTTGACTTCAATATTAATGTCAAATGTTGCAAGTAAACACCTAAACACGTGAAGTCAGCACGTCTTGTTTATAGTAACAGATAAAAGGTGGCATTTATAAAAACACGGTAGCGTAGACGGTGAATTAAATGATCGCAACAACAGTTCGATTAGTACACATACGTTGCGACTTGGTCGAGCATACGATCCACCACCTTACTTGTGAAAAGTGGTGTGCTTCGCTATGTAAATCAATAGCAATAGCATCGTTGTCAATCAGATCTCAAACTTCCAATTTTGTAGTAACAAATTTTTAATTTTTCTTGGGAAAATACTGTTTGCTTTGATTGCCCACATGACTGACCGTCGCTCACACGGTGAATTTTTAGATGTAATTTTAACGTTTTTTTTTTTAATAGAAGAGGGGGCAAACGAGCATTCGGCTCACCTAATGGTAAGTGACTACCGCTGCCCATGAACAACCGCAACACCAGGGTAATTGCAGATGCGTTGCCGGCCTTTTAGAAAGGTGTAAGCTCTTTTCTTGAAGGTCCCTAAGTCGTATCGGTCCGGAAGAATAGCCGGTTTTAAACAATTCCACAGAAGAGTTGTACGAGGAAGAAAACTCCTAGTAAAACGCACAGTCGTGGACCGCCAAGCATCCAGACGGTGTGGATGGTATCGAGAGTTTTGCCGCGATATGCGTTCGTGAAATCTGGCGGCTGGGATTTCTCCGAACAAGAGCTCTCAACAAGAGATTCTCAAAGCACTCCCTGTGCTAAATGCGAACAAGGGATCCAACATCTCTTCGCAGTGCCAGTGAATCGAGCCGATCGGTAAGGACTCGGTCCTCGACGATTCGAGCCGCTCTGCACTGCATGCGGCCAAGTGGAAGGAGCTGGAACTTGCGAGCACCAGCCCAGAGATGGGAACAGTATTCCTTGTGAGGCTTACGCCTTGTAACGTTGCAGGAGGTGTGCCGGCATGAAAAACTGTTCCGCTCTGCTGGGCACGCCAAGCTTTTTAGAGGCCAATTTGGCCTTCTCTTCCAAGTGACCACGAAACTGCACGTCACTCGATATGTCGGCGCCGAGGATTCCGATACTTGCTGAGGCAACAAGGGGAGTTCCTTGAAGGTGAGGAGATACGACAAAGGCGTTCTTTTTAGCGGTAAACGCGCAAGCTTGTGTCTTCTGATTAAACTGGACTAGATTAGTCGCCCACAATCTGAGACTTTATTCAGCAAAGACTCGACTTCAGACAAGTTTATTCCGGTAATCGGCGACGTTTTCCCGAGAAATTTTGGCACGGCCGGTGTATAGAGCATCACCAGTGCTGTCATTCGCATAGCAATGAATGTTACCGCTTCGCAACATATCATTGAAATACAGAAGAAACAGCCTTGGTGACCAGCACGCAGCCTTGTGGAACACTAGCATTAATAGGCTTGTAGTCGGAGCATGCACCGGCTGCAATTGCCTTGATACTCCGATCTGCAAGAAAGCTGGTGATCTAATTGCACAATTTCTCGGGAAGCCCATAGGAAGGGAGCTTTCAAAGAAGCGCTTTGTGCGAAACCCGATCGAAGGCCTTTGCGATGTCCAAACTAACGGCTAATGCCTCTCCCTTGGACTCTACTGCCTCCGCCCATTTATGAGTCAGGTAGACCAGAATATCACCAGCTGATCGACCCCGCCGAAAACCGTACTGGCGGTCACTAATCAGCTGGTGATCCTGAAAACACCGCATGAGCTGACAGTTTATAACGGATTCCATTATTTTGGAGAACAAGGAGGTGATGGCGATAGACCTGTTGTTAGAACCGGTGCTAACTCTAGAGCACACGTCCTCAGCACAATTGGGGGGATTCCGTCAGGTCCACTGGATTTGTGGATGTCCAGGGAAAGGAGGGCTTTGAGAACCCAGCGCTGTATGAACCGCACATGTAGCATGGAGCACTCACACCGCAGGATGGTCGGCGGTGTGTTCCCCCCGTCATCGAGAGTCGAGATGGACGCAAAGAAAGAGCCTAACAGATCGGCTTTCTCCTTTGCGACATGGGCCAGTGAGTGCAGGATTTGTGATTTGAAGTATAATTTCGGCCTCCAGGTCTTTCAAAAGTGTCGTTGCCATGGCAAAGTCAAATGAAGTGAAATGTTAACATAGGCAGAATTCTAGAGTCTATCGCCCTTGGCTTTGCACAAGGAGGATGACTGAACGTTAGCGACGTTGTAACTAGATTTAAGCTCGCAAGTTTTCTATCAGAGAGTGATCCTTATGTTCTTTTTACTATTATTTATTCTGTTGTATAATAAAGGAGTTGACCCAGTATTAGTATTTATTACAAATATGACATTACTAGCTAACCTAAGGCACACGTGTTGTTTTCGGGCTCTTAGGTCGTCTGTACGTCAGTATATTATATATATTATATATTCTAAGTCTATGACTGAGTTTTGACGGGAACTTGACCGGCAACGGATTCTTGCTCCTGTATTATTATTTAAATAATGGTTTGAAGTGGATTTTGATATGTAAAAGTGGTACGATTTTGTGTATTAAATGTCTGCGCATGTGAACTATTATACTATAAAGTGTCTGTCTGCTGGCTCCAGTTGCTGTCAAAAGCTCCCAAGGGCTGCACAATATGACGCATCAACATATTGTGAAGCAATGTATTCTGAAGGATAACTATACATTGTAACTTCAGGCTCAGAAAAGCTAGAACCCAGAGTCGTAAAGTCAGTTATACAAAAAAAAATAACTAACTAAGGATTATATACCTACTCTATCGATAACAATGACAAGCAACATTTAATTTTATTTGACTTACTCTATGCAAGCCGATGTTGCTAGAAGATTACATTTCTTACATTTTACGTAACTTTTCTCAATCTATGTAACATGTATATAAGAATTCTTTAGGCACATTTGTTATTAAAATTAGTTTTGCACCAGGATACGGTATTCACAAATTTAAAATTTATAATCTCTCTTTAATTAATTTCGATCATATAATAGTTTTTACACTGACATAAAAAAGGGAACGCTGAAATTAGAATATTGATTATGTTTTTATATAGATGTTTGTGTATTTTAAATAGTTTTATGTAGCATTATAATACCTGTTAATAAAAATATTGCCACTTGCCTATTTAAATTCAATAGATTGAGTACTTGATGTTTAATTTAGTTTTATATAATGAGAAGTGCAAAATGAATAATAATAAATTATTATAATTCAAAAAAAGAAGAAATTTGATTTCACATGTCCACTGCAGTTTATATTTAATATTGCATAACTTGCTAATATGTTAATAAATAAAAAAAAGAATCATTTTACTTTATATACATACATTTTATTTATAACCTCAAAATTAGTAAATTGTTTGCTTACATTTCTTTCCTTAAGTTGCCTAAGTATATTAAGAAACAAAAATAAATCATCAAGCTTTTTATTTTCAATATAATTAAAATAAAATTAATTATTGTAATGCATGGTTAATAAATTAAAAATTACTATTTCGTAACTTTTAGTAAGAAAATGTAACTTTTCAGGTATGACAGTATTTTTCAGGCAAGGGGTCAAGCCAACTATCACTCGACGAGAGGCTTTTATTACGTTAGGGCACAAACTAATAAGAAGGGTTATAGTAGTAGTAGCTTTAATAAATTCCTTGAATGACCCACTGGCAACACTGACGCAAGCAACAAGCAAATCATTCTGTCATTCATCATTACCGGGTCTCGTTTTCGACTTTTAATTTTTGGAATCTAAATAATAAAATAATATAATATTACCTACTTATAAAATAGTTGAATAATTCATTAAATATTAGTTATTTCTGACAATGAGTTCTATTGGAACTGGGGTAAGAATAGACCAATGTTAACAAGCATTTTAATGTGTTTGATATTTTAAGTTATTAATAATCTCTACGGAATATTCGCTTTTCTTTCTTTTGCAATCAGTCTCTAAAACCCGTAACAAACACAGTATAACATACCAAGAGGTTATATAAATTATGCTTGTTCATTATTCTTCATTGCTTTTAGTACGATCTTTCTGCTTCCCAATTCTCGCCCGACGGTCGAGTTTTTCAAGTTGAATATGCAGCTAAAGCTGTAGAGAATTCAGGTACAGTTATAGGCCTCCGGGGTAAAGATGGAGTTGTGTTTGCTGTCGAGAAGTTAGTTACGTCAAAGTTGTATGAACCTGGTGCAAACAAAAGAATCTTCCATGTAGATGAACATGTTGGAATGGTAAGGAACTTCAAGTGTCCATGAATAAGTTTTATCTTATTGTTATTTCCTGGAAAATGTAATAGCCCAGAAATTGTTCATTGCTTTATCCTATTATTAAGTTTTAAGTTTAACTTTAGGGTGACAAACGAGCACACAGTCCACCTGTTGGTCATCAAGTGGACTGTGTGACATCCACATCTATCCTCAATAAAGAATCAAAATGCAGATGCCTTGTCACCCGTGAGGACTAAGATGGATTGCCTCTTTTCCAGTAAAAAGGGCCTGCGGTTCTCTACACTCACCATGCAAAACACAGCAGTGTTATGCTGCTATTTAACGCTGGTCTTCTGTGAGAGCGTGGTCCTTCCCTGGTTGAGCCGACCCATTCGTGATACAACTATACTACTAATATAGCTGCAGCATGGCTCTACCATGTATAAAATGTATGGTGGCAGTATTAGAGAATCTATCACCCCATGCTATCCCATGGGTGGTGTTCTAACAATTTACTAAGAAAATGGTGCATTCAGTCCTAATTGTGCTAGAGGGGTCTTAAATATATGCCATAGTAAAATAAAATATACCAGTAAAAAGGCACAGTGTCAAAGGTGTGAAATGGTAGCATTGATTATATCCAATCAACCTATTATATGTGGCAATTATTACAGTGGGCTGGTGAAGATCAAGGTTTAAATTTAAGTAGGATTATCTATTAATGTTCTAAAGTTCTACCTTCCTTCATTCATTACAGTCTATTAAAAGTCCCCTGCTGAATGGGCTCCCCATGTAGATTTGCCTCATAGGAGTGTATTTTCCCATAAATGCTTGGCAAATGAATTTTTTTTATTATTTTTGAGTTGTTATTAAAGATGCTGTTGTGGACTTGGTGTATAAAAAGTGGGTTAAGAAAATCTGTCACTTCATTTGACCCCTTAATTATGATAATAGTTCATCATTTATCATTAAGAGTCATTCAGAAGTCCTCTGCTATACATCGGCATCCCCAAAGGAATGCCACAAAGCACAGTTCTGAGCCATAAACATCTCGACTGCCTGTACTTTTTAGGTCATCACTTCATCAAGTGGGGGCCACTCTGCACTTCTTTTTCCAGTATGAGGCTGCCATTCGAGAACATTTCTTCCCATTCAGTTGTCAGTTCTTAGAGCTATATGGCCGGCCCATTAGGCCACTTCAGCTTAGTAATCTGTTGGGATATGTTTGTTACTGTTGGGCTATGTCAGTTACTATGATATGATAGTTAACTTTCAATAATAAACCAATACTGTTACCATTAAAGTCCACTGCTGTAAATAGGCCTCCCACAGATTGTCTAATAAGGGGGATATTTGCCATAGTTGCCAGACTTGAAAAAAGCCGGTTGGCAACTACAGTTTTTTATTTTTAGTTGTTATTAGGAAGAAAAAAAAATATTAGGAAGAAGCTGCTGCCCATCTCCTGATTTCTTTCCCTCTGTCACCTTTTATGACACCCACGGGATGATATTGAGTAGTGGTTATTCTTACACTACCACTACACAGCCCAGTAACAGAAATTTAATTATGTGGAACTATATAATAGTTATGTAATAAAATATACAGACCAATACTGTTATACCAGACCCATTATTAGGTATCTATTGAATTAAGCAATCTGCCCACTGGATATATTTGTATATAATGCATTTATGTATAACCCTCATTATGGTGATAGAGATTTTTAAATGTGAAAATGTTTAAATTAAGAATTCACATTGTGTGATAAGTTTTGCAACACACAGTATGATGTTGAGAGCTGCATTCGATGGGTTAGCTAGCAAATAGTGTGTGACTGAAATTAACTAATATTTTGATATATATGGCCATATTTAAAAAGTAGGAATTTTTTTATTATCTCTAGGTATTTAATAATTTTTAATAGCTTAATGATGGCAATTTTATTTTGGTTTATGCTTTAAACACATGTTTTTATTCCAGGCTGTAGCTGGTTTAATTTCTGACGCCAGACAGATGGTTGAAACAGCCCGATCTGAAGCATCTAATTATAGGTCTCAGTATGGAATCCCCGTCCCACTTAAATATTTGAATGAGCGTGTCTCTATGTATATGCATGCTTACACATTATACAGTGCAGTCCGTCCTTATGGATGCTCTGTGGTTATGGGTTCATGGTCAGAGCACGATGGGCCTCAGATGTTTATGCTAGATCCCAGTGGTGTTTCATTTGTGAGTATAGTTATTTATGTTATTTTTGGATATTAATTAAGAATAATATTAAAAAATCCTGTGGCATAGACAACAACCATAAGTTAAAATATCTATTTAAGTACTGACCGAAAAGGAAATACGGTTTTGTTTTCAAAATAAATTCAGTAGTAGATAAAAGAAAAATTAAAAACAAATTACATATACAATAACAATTAGTAACTAAATTGACTTAATGACATTCACATATGCACAAATTAAAGTGTTATATATGTATACAATTATATTTAATGGTTTTGCACATTTTGACAATATTTGCAATAAGGGCTTTATTGATTTTTCATCACAGATCAAAGCATGCAAAACGTCATTAATTTGCATAGTTTCTTACATATTGACAATGTCAATAATTTTTTTAATTATGTATGAGCAGCTATGCAGGTCTAGAGTGACCAGTATCACTGTGACCTAAAAGATCTATTGTGATCGCTGCTATGTCTATAGTTCACTGTTAAGCCCTATGTACCTAATGAATACAAGCTGTGAGTAATTTCACTTATTCTGGGCGAAGTACATAGTTTCCCAGTTGAAGAAAAGATATATGTGGTAGAGCCACGCTGCAGCTATACTGTGGTTGTAGTATGAATGGGTCGGTTTGACCGGGGTAGGACCACACTCTCTCAGAATACAGCATGCAACTTAATGCTGCTGTGTTTCGTATGGTGAGTGTAGAGAACTGGAGACCCTTTTTATTGGAAATGTTGCATTCCATCTTATTCCTCAGGGGTGACAACACATCTGCATTTTGATTCTTAATTGAGGATACATGTAGATGTCTATGGACACACTCATATTCTATATATTAAAAAAAGATAGTGTAAGTAAGATACTTATTACTTTATGACCAAATGAATTTTATAATTATACAAAATTACAGTAAAACACGGGTTTGATCCCCGCCGGCGCCAATGAAATTGTTAATTGCAATTTTAAGTACTGATTTACCATGTGCTCGGCGGTGAAGGATAACATCGTGAGTAAACCTACATGTCTGAGAAATAAGAAAAAACAACATTTCGAAGACGATGATGTGAAGTTCGCCAACACGCATTGGGGCAGTGCGGCGTACATTTCCTTGCCCTAAAACCCTCTCAGAAATGAGAGGAAGCCTGTGCCCAGCAATGGGACGTAAATAGGCTGCAACTTTACTGTAAATAAAGAAGAGCCATTTGATAGTTGTTAATCACATTACTTTTATTTAAATTAGATTTAATTTTTATTCTTAGTCTTGTATCCCTTAATTTCAGTCCTACTTTGGGTGTGCAGTAGGAAAAGCAAAACAAGCAGCGAAGACTGAGATTGAAAAGCTTAAGCTTGCTGACATGACTGTTAAGGAATTGGTAAAGGAAGCTGCTCGAATGTAAGTAATGATTTTGTATTATATTATTGAAAGTCAATAAGAAACTCTAAAAAATGATATTCTGTTGAAGAAAAATCACCTTTCTTGTATTCAATATAAATTATTCTCTTCTATTATATTATAATATTATATACTATGATTTCACTAGTTGGTTAATGGTAACCATATGTACAAGTTCACATTTTAATACAATCATATTTGTGAACAATAAATGTTACTGTTTTCTCTAATGAATCGAACTGGAAACACCCAGGTTTGCCCGCTTCCGTTCTCGAAATTTTGCCCTGAAAAATGAACCCCGTGGTCGTCAGAAAACTTTGGTCGACAATGACGAATTAAAGGTGTTTTTGGAAGCTGATGATACTCAATCTATGATTGAATTAGCAGCAGCTTTTAACGTAAACAATATTGGTCCATTAGCGTCAAATAGGCAAGGTAAAAAAGCTTGATAAATGGGTGCCCCACTAACTCAATGATCGTCAGCGCAAAGTATGCGTTGAGACATGCCTTGCACTGCTCAACAGGCACACAAAGAAAGTTTGAACCACATTGTTACCTGCTATGAAAAATGCATTCTGTTTGACAATCGCAAGCGCTCAGCAAGTTAATTGAATCCTGGTTCAGCACCGAAACAATGCCCTAAACGAAAACTTACCCCTAGAAAAGTGATGGTCACTGTTTGGTGGTCTAGCGCCGGTGTGATTCATCACAGCTTCTTACCAAACGGGATGAGCAATACTGCAGATGTGTATTGTTAAAGCTGAACACAATGATGGAGAAGTATGCATGTCTCCCATCAGCTTTGGTCAATCGCTCGTCCCCGCTGCTCCTGCACGACAACGCGCGACCGTACAACAGTACTGCCTCCAAGTTACAAGAGCTGGGGTTGGAAGCTTTCTGTACTCATCAGAACTTGCGCCTACAGACATCTATTTTTTCCAGAATTTGGAGAACATTTTGGCGGGAAAAAAATTCAATACCCGAGAGGCAGTACAAAATGCCTTTGAAGAATTTGTTGCCTCACGTCCCCATTTCTTCAAGAAAGACATCAATAAACTGCCACTGCATTGGCAAAGATGCATCTCAATTGCATGAGTGATTACTTTCATTAATAGAACTAAAAATTATAAAAAAATAACATTGCTATTTCATAAAAAACGGCAATTTCATGGGTAAAGACCTAGTATAATTAATAACATTACCTAACATACACAACACATAGCTTTTACTATACATAGCTTTTTCTTCTTTTTCTTCATTCAGCAGCAATGACCTAACATAACCTAACCATGTTAATCACTATTAAGACAATAAGTTAATAATGTACCAAATCTGAGATTAACACTTAATAAATGTAAAAATGTGAAGGAAAGGGAAAACCACTTTGCAGTATCTAATAGCAGCAATGAGATGTTCTTCTTTGCATTACAAAAAAAAACCTTTGATGAAATTTTTTATTTGCATTGTGTTTAAGTGTTAAATATAACATAAAAAAAACCTAACCTAACCTATGTTTTTGTTACCTTGCCCAACAATAAGTATCGGACTTCATTTATAAAGCGTCAGTAGCCTAATGGCAGGGCGCGGACCGCGAACTCGAAAGGTCGTGGGTTCGAATCCGCCATTCGACTACTAACGTGAATCACTTCTAACACAAGCCTTTTAAGCTTACCAGAAGTGGTTAAAGGGAATATTAGTAATGTTTAATAGCATTACTAGTATTTATTTATAAAAAAAAGGAAAAAAGCCTGGTCAATTTAATTATTTCGATAGTTTTACCACATTGCCTGCTCATATAGGACATTATTCATATTTGCCAGGCATTTTGAATAATGCCCTATTAGTCACTTGGTCCATAACATATATAGCCCAACGGGTCAGCAAGCTAAAGTGCCATTGGGCCGGCTATATAGATAAAAGATCCATCCACCGATGGGGAAGTAAGATTTGCGAGTGGCGGCCTCATGCTAATTGAAATGTAGGGCAGCCCCCACTAGATGGGTAGAAAGTTTCTCTTGACCACGCTTCGTGGCATCTCTTGGGGAAGGCCTATGTTCATAAATGGACATGTGAAGGCGGTTATGACGATGATTAAGATAATGATAATAATATCAACTTTACACATGAAGCGTCAAATATTAAAATTATAACTATAAAATTCTAATACCTTGTTTAAACTGTTCTGTAAAAAAAATTGAATCCAATATTTCAGGTCCTTAGTGTTAGATAGTTATATTTTTATAATTTTTAAGTTATTTTAGAAATTGATATTCATAGAAGTTTGATATAATTATTTTTCTTCTTTCAGTATTTATCTTGTACATGATGAATTAAAAGACAAACAATTTGAATTGGAGCTCTCATGGGTGTCAAAGGATACTAAAGGCCGTCACCAATTAGTACCTCGCGATGTGGCTGCCGAAGCGGAGAACCACGCTAAGCAGTCGTTGGCAGACATTGAAGACTCGGACGAGGGAGAAATGTGAAAAAATATTTTTAGTAAATAAATTTTTATTATAATTTGTTTTTGCTTTTAACATCTATATTAATATGACATTTATACCGCATACATTTTTCAGTTATGTCAGAAGACCACAATATGTACAAGCGAATAAAGCATTTGGGGTCAGACCCATATTTTACAGAGGTCTTTTGTTACTAGTTTTGTAAGATATAAGAAACAAATAAATATTAAAAAATATTATTTTAGATAGTACTAAAAAAATTATATGTGATAGAGCCACACTACAGCTATATTTTTTTCTGATGGTAAGTGACTACCGCTGCCCATGAACAACTGCAACACCAGGGGAATTGCAGATGCGTTGCCGGCCTTTTGAAAAGGACTAGGCTCTTTTGAAGGTATTATGGTTGAAGCACGAATGTGTTGGCTCAAACGGGAATACCAGAGTAATATAGCAGCTTTAAAACAGCTGTTTCATATGGTGAGTGTAGAGAACAGCAAACGAGGCATTCCATTTCTGTCCTCAGGGGTGACAACGCATTTCCATCATCATTTTGATTCTTATTCAAGGATAAATGTAATGTAATGTCTACGGACCTCAGGATCCACTTATCATCACGTGGTGTCTGTCACCCATCTCTATATATAAAACTCAATTTCTGTCTGTTAGTCTCACTAAAACTCAAAAACGGCTCAACCAATCTTGATTAATTTTCTTGTGTATGTATGAATTGGTCCCTAGATGACTAAGATTCCTATTTGCACCCGGTAGGCGGCGCTGTTCCTGAAATCACCCGTGCGAAGCCAAAGAGGATTGCTAGTATTTATAAAAATACATTCTTTTTTAAAATGCCATATATTTTATAATACCATATTTTAAAATGTCCTGCACTAGGCTCTTACAGATCAACGTAGAAAGTAGAAATAATATTACTCTCGTAATTCTTCATCAGCTCATAATAATTACTTTGCTAGATGTGGACCTCGACCATACTGGATACAATTCGCTGTAACCGCCAGGTTTAGCCATGTTAACTATCGCAGTACCAGACTTCACACATTTGAAGCTGCACCCTTGAAATTTATTAGCACATTAGTGGTTCTTCACTGCTAGCCGTATAAGGAAGCTCAAGGTATGCTGTGCTCGAAGTTTGTATGCGTGATAAACTGTAATGAGAATATCCGCAGCAGAACCAGAGTAACTGAAATAGCACAACTTATCAGTAAGCTGAAGTGCCAATAGGTCGGCCAGTCGAAGAACTTATAGGGTAACCGGTAAGCAAAGTGAGGGACGATCTCCTACAAGATGGAGTGAAGACCTGGTAAGAGATGCAAGAAGTCTCTCGCTCAGGACTATGCTTTGTGACATTCCTTCCCTCCATGGTTTGTGGCTTATGTACAGCTGTGAACTTGTAATGTTATTGATGATTATTACGATGATGATGATCTCGCCTATTTCTCTAATTTGATTCTTATGACACCCAATGGTCTAAATAGAGTGGGAGAACCACAAGTCGCTTTGATGGTGATAATATACGATTTAAACTTATTGATGGGTATCCAGTAATATGTCTCCTAGTTGTGGTGAGTATTTAAAAAAGCATAAATTTCTTCATTTTTATATATTAAATTTTTATATAGTAAATGTGTTACCTACGACACAGTACAAACAGTTGCGTGTAATCGAAGATTTATTAAATACTAACCGCTTTGCGTAGAATCGCCTAGTTAATATCTGAGCTAAAGATACGTGGTTTGAAAACTTTTATAGAATCCTTTTATGATATGGCTGTTGTTATAGATCAACAGTATCGACCGTCACACGTAGGCTACGGAGCGCAGGCAAAATCACCCGCCACTCCGAGACGCGCGCCAAAATGTATGTGTAAAAGCAATTGGCGCGCATTTGGAAGCGGCACTCTGTCGCATACGCACATTCAACGTATCATAGTATACGACATGCGGATGAAAATGATGAATTTTTATACGTGGTAAAGCCATGCTTCAGCTATATTATGATTAAGACACGAATGGGTTGGCTCGACCGCGATAAGTTTAATAGGTGGTAATATTCCCTTTCTGCGTAGTGCGTGCTTATCGCCAAATGGTAGTTTTTGTATTGAGTGAGAACGCCTATGTAGCTTTCTTTGTGTAAAGTTGGCTGCATGTGTCTGTGGACTGCAGTAACCACTTACCGTCAGGTGAAATGTAAGTTCGTTTGACGTTTCAGTTTTATAAAAAAAGGTCCACGCTCTCACAGAATACCACAGTAAAGAAGCAGCTTAATGCTGCTGTGTTTCGTGTGGTGAGTTTAGAGAACCAAAGTCCCTTTAAAATGGAAATGAGGCATTCCACCTTAGTCCTTAGGGGTTACTACGCATCTGCATTTTGATTCTTAATCAGAATGATGTTTATTTGTATGGGCCACATCATACACATTATCAGGTGAACTGTGTGCTCGCTGCTCGGCTATGCTCTCAGAGAATGCCACCGTAAAATAGCAGCTTAATGCTGCTGTGTTTCGTGTGGTTAGTGTAGAGAATCACAGACCCCTTTTTAATGAAAATGAGGCATTCCATCTTAGAGGTAACAAAGTATTCTGCATGTTGATTCTTAATTAAGGAAAGGTGTATATTTCTATAGGCCACAGCATCCACTTACCATCAGGTGGACTGTATGTTCTTTTCCCACCCTTATTCTATAAATAGTGTGAGTTTGGAGCGTAGACACCGTAACAACCGGCTTCTACCGATCGTACTCGTGCTCGTGGACATTTAAATTTCGATATAACCCTAATCAATAAAGCTAAGGACCGTCAAAGAAGTGAGAGGGAGGATAATAAAATCAAAAAAAAATATATTATGCTCTTCCCCTTATCATATGATTTATTACCTTTCACAATACACGTATAATTAGATATAAAAGCGGCCGTTGACGCGTCCATCTCGCAAGATAGAACTTTAATATCCTGAGGAATCCACGCTCCACGTCGAACTGCGTTACTAACTCATCATCATCATTACAGCCTTTCATAAGTCCACTGCTGAACATAGGCTTCCCCCAAGGAATGCCACAAAGCACGGTCCTGAGCCACCTGTATCCATCGACTTCCTGCATGTCTTACCAGGTCGTCACTCCATCTCGTGGGGGGTCGCCCTACACTTCGCCTACCGGTACGAGGCTGCCACTCAAGAACCTTTCTACCCCATCGGTTGTCGGTTCTTCGAGCTACATGGCCGGACCACTGCCACTTCAGCTTACTAATCAGTTGGGCTATGTCGGTTACTCTGGTTCTACTGCGGATATCCTCATTCCTAAGTTTATCACGCAGAGAAACTCCGAGCATAGCCCTCTCCATAGCTCGCTGAGTGACCTTGAGCTTCCTCATACGGCCAGCAGTGAACCACGTCTCAGATCCGTAAGTCATCACTGGCAACACGCACTGGTTGTACAATTTCGTTTTAAGGTTTTGAGGTATGTCTGATGAGAAGATGTGTCGTAGTTTCCCGAACGCTGCCCAGCCGAGTTGAATCCGTCGATTGACCTCTCGGTCGAAGTTGGACTTACCTAGTCGGACTATTTGTACAGGTAAACATACTCGTCAACAACTTCGAGCTTAGTGCTCCCAACAACTACCGGCATAGGTGTGACATGGACATTAAACATAATCTTTGTTTTGTCCATGTTCATCTTAAGACTATCCGTTGGGAGACACTATTGAGGTCATTGAGCATAGTGCTTAGGTCCTCCAGCGATTCTGCCATAAGGACTATATCGTCGGCAAATCGAAGGTGAGTGATGTACTCGCCATTGATGTTAATACCGTATTCTTTCCAGTCCAGAAGTTTGAAAACATCTTCCAATGCAGCGGTGAAGAGTTTCGGGGATATAACGTCACCCTGTCTTACATCTCTCTGCAATTGGATAGGTTTCGTACTCTGGTTCTGTACTCGGATAGCCATCGTAGCTCTACTGTACAAGCACTTCAGCACTTCGATATACCGACAGTCAACTTGGCACCGCTGAAGAGACTGCAGCATTGCCCAAATTTCGACGGAATCAAAGGCTTTCATAGTCCACATACGCCAAGCATAGTGGCAAATTGTACTCCTCGGACTTCTGTACAACTTGCCGAAGGGTATGTATGTGGTCTATGGTGTTAAAGCCTTTTCGGAAACCGGCTTATTCGGGAGGCTGGAAGTCGTCAAGTCTGCGTGCGAGACGATTTGTAATGAATCGAAAACAGCACGTAGAGGCGGCTCAGAAGGGAAATCGGTCTGTAGTTCTTCAAGAGAGCATTGTCACCTTTCTTGAAGAACAAGACCACCGCACTTCTGCTCCACGCCTCCGGTGTAATGCCACCATGGAGGACGGAATTAAAGAGTCTCTGAAGAACTTCCTGTACCGGTTTTCCACCCGCTTTCAGAAGCTCCGCTGTAATTCCATCCTCGCCTGGGGCCTTGCCGTTTTTAAGATGCTGGAGTGCCATTCTAATCTCGCTCAGACTGACGTCCGGGATATCTTCGGAATAGTGTCGGATAAGACTCGCTCTTGGATCGTTACTCACACTTGCGTGTGGCTCCAACGATGACGTGTACAGTTGTCCATAGAACCTCTCAATCTCATTCAAAATCTCAGGTGCCCCGGAAACGATGCTGCCACACTCGGTCTTCAGCTTTGACAGTTGGCTCTTTCTGGTAGACAAATCTCTGGCAAAGACTTTGGAGCCTTGTTTCTGCTCGATCGCTTCTTCAATACGAGCAGTATTAAAGTTGCGTAAATCTCGCCGCATGCAGTTGGAGATCTGTCTGTCCAGTTGCCTATATGCTGTCAAATCTACTGAATAGTGCAGTTTCATCTCCCGTCTAACAGCCATGAGATTAAGAGTGTAATCGGAGAGTTTTTGTGTTCTTCTGCGGTGGGTCTTGCAGAAGTTAGCTCCGACCGCATGGACAGTTTCCACGAGCTTGTCATTCATATCGTCCACTTCATTGCAGGTCTTCTAGGCACTGAAAATGGTTT